CCCTTTCATTTATTCAGTGCTTTATCTATTAAAAAAATCATTATCTACTTAAACTGTCAGTTAAGATACTGAGGCATGAAAGACGAAAAATTAGATTTAGTTTATATAACTTTACCAAAATACAGGTTAGTTGAACTGCATTCAGCGTGTCCATAGAGATGTTGACTGATTTAAAAGAGATTTTAGTCTAATAATATAATCTAATCTAATGGGTGGATTTTCTTCCACTGCAAAATATATCTTCTCTGGACAGCTGTATTACCATCTTAAGTCCTGACAGTACAGGACAAAGTCTTACTCTGATGTTTCTTTATCAGCTTCATAAAAGTAGTTACCTGCAGGTCAAATAGGATTGCTGTAATGTGGTATAAACCAGAGTTGAGTGTGCTTAAGTCATTAACTGCATTGCTCTAAGAAACACAAGTGGAACTCTAGAAGTCTGTCTTAGTTTGGGCATCAGTTGAAGGTTAGTCAAGGTAAGACTTCTTTAAGGGAAATAAACATTTATATTGGCATTTGCATCCAGCGAAGTCCTTTCATAAACACACCTTTTGGATAAATAAGAATTTGTCTTTTAAGGCTGTTTGAGATGGAAATGCTGGTTTTTTGTACAATGAGATACGTATCCTGAAAGTCTCCACAAGTCCTGCATTTCTGGATAGTGCTTAAGTTATATGCTTTTTTTCTTCTTTTCCTTTTTTAGTTGTTGACAAGATCAAGGAAATGATGGAAGAAATAGAAAATGCAATCAATGATTTTAAAGAGGAACAGAGGCAAATGTATGTTTATGTACTTCAGTACATATAAACATACATATGTATGTATGTTTATATGTACTTCAGCTACTAGAAAAAGGGCTGTTGTAAGACACAATGAAAACTTTGCATTAATCTAGCAAACTGTTCTTATGATTTACTCTTTTGGTAGTGATTCCTGAGGTATGTAAATCAAAGTACAAGCTGTCAGAGTTAGCATCTTGATAAACTGACTTTCAGAGAGGGTGTTTATACAGCTATTGCAGCATTCCAGCCTAACAACGATTTGCCTATGAATAGGCTTTTTAGAGAGGCTGTAGAAGAGATTAGATTGTGGGTTTTTTTTGTTGCTGTTCTGTTTTCTAATCGGGTTTTGGGGGTTTCTTTTTCTTTCTACTGGTATCAGGAGGGGATTGAGTTAATTGTATGCATGCCATAAATGTGTTCTTTCAGTAAAAGGGTAACTTAATTCTCATTGTGTAGGGCTTTATTACCAGATCATTACAACTGTGCTGTTACCACTTCAGTTCTTAATCTTTGAAGAATAGCTCTTGTGTGGCATTGAACAATTCCAAAATTCATTTTTGGTGAATGGACAATGAATACTGGATTTTTTTTTTCTTACATTTCAGTGTTTGTCTCTTTTCAGATATCAACAGCTTTTGAAAGAGGAAAAAGCTGTCATTAATGAGCTCAGTCTCTTTGAGAGAAAAGTGGAACTGTGGGCATTAGGGAGCTCAACAGCAGAAAAAGTTTGGAAATTACCATCAGCCAAGGTCACAGTTGATAAAACACTGGAAAATCATCTACCCGAAGAAGTAATAGAGTTTGAAAAATTTCTTCAGCGAACAGGGGGGCGGCAAGGAGGCTGGGATGATTATGATCATCAAAATTTTCTGAAAATACGGACAAAATACAGAGGAAGGCTGTCTTACATGGATGAAGCCCTTGAGTATCTCAGCGGAAGAACAAAAGAAGATATAGAACAGCATGACAAATGGTATCAAGAATATGTAATTTTACATGAAAGAAAGAAAGAGGTAAAATCAGCCCTCTAAGGCTTTTGAAGATTTCAGAAAATGTACTTATTTTTGAAAGGCATAATCTCTTGTTTTTGTATCTGCCTCTCTGGTTGTAGTGCTAGGCAGATTTCTCTTATAGTTGATGGTATATAATTGAGGTCTTTAACATCCCCAACCTACCAAAGTGTTTGTCTTTAATAAATAATTACAAATAGGCAAAGACCTAACAACGCAGAGAAGTAGCGTGTGTATTGCCAAAGGATATTACAAACACTTTTGAAGTCAGTGATCTTGAAAGCTCGGTGCCAAGCCCAGAGCAGTTACTGATCCTGTCTTCCTGTTATATTTGTCTCTAAGAATGTGTGTCCCACTGTATAAGCAATACACCTAAGACAGACTGACATGCAGAATTATGATTCCCTCAAGAACTGTCTAAGTAATAAAAGGCATACTGACATAAGAACTACTATAAAACAGTGGGTTAATTGGAAAGAAAGCAAGAACTGAGATACATTTGCATTAAAAAAGTATATTGCATCAACATTCATAACTACCCAAAGTTATTACAATTGCTGTAACAGTTTTAGCAGACATATGTTGAACCTGCTTGTGTGATCCACAAAATAGGGGAAAAAAAAGAGAGGAAACACATATAGGTGCTTCTTGGTTTTAGGTTTTGCCTTCAGTAGACTTTTAATTCCTATGTGTATATTTTGTGTTCTTGGAACAACTGTCTTCATCAGATTGAATCCATGTGAATATGTAAAATTTTCATGAAACTTTGGATTTTTTTCTTATGGTCTCTTGCAGTCAATTAAAAAGTGGAAAGAAAAGCAGCAGCAAGAAAAAGAAAGAAACTTGAAGGAGAAAGAGAAATTAGAAAAAATGCTGAAGGAAAGATGGGTGCAACGTGAAGAAGCTCAGAAGCAAAAGGCAGAAGAAGAAAGAAAAAGAAAACATGCTGCAGTTGAAGTCTGGAAGAAACAGAAAGTAGTAGCATTTGCAATAGATCAAGCATCCCAACTAAAACTAGAAGAGAAGGAGAAAAAGCAACAAAAAGAGTGCCGAAGCCACGTGAAGTTACTGTTGGAAAGGAATACCTTGCAAAAAAAAGTAAAGGAGGAACTTGAAAAGCTTGAAAATGAGAAGAAAGAGGAAGCTGAAAAGGAGGGAAGGAAGAAAATTGCTGCAGAAGAAATTTCTAAGTTTCAAGAGCATGTGCGTAATTTCACCTCCATTTTTGCATGTCGTTGTTTTAAATTTGATATGTCCTACTACAATATAATCAGTTAAACAGGTTTTAAAGTCCAAGTACTATTCATCTAAATCCATGATTGATTCATTACAAATAACAGCATCTATTGCAGATAAAGAGTATGAAACTTGATTTTAGACAAAGATGCTCCTTTTCTTCAATAGATATTGAATTCTACAAGATTACTCAAGATCATATTTCTTTATCCATACGGAAGTGCGTTTATTTCTTCACTAAATAATTTTTTTGAGAAAAACTACTTGGGCTATGCTGCCTAAGAAGACTTCAGAGGACCTGAGTGCTGTATTCAGATGGGAGGTAGAAAAAGTTGTTGGAATATCCTGCAGGTTTCAGTATCTGTTAGGCAAAGTCAGATTCCATATCAATGTAAATGCAATTACTGGGAAGTTGGTATTATTGTCAGCATTCATACTGAAGTTTTATAAACACAGTATGAACTACTACTTTTTTATTTGCAAGCCATGAACTATAATTTGTTTGTGCAGGACAAGCTATAGCATGTAGCTACCTAGTGAAACCTTATTCTTTGCTATTACAATAATTTCAAAACAAAACCAAAAAACAACCAACCAAAAATAAAACAAACAAACAAAAAAAGCTGTGAAAAGGCTGCATCTATATTTTTACATCATTTGTCTTACTTAGGAAGAAAAGTTTGCTTTTCCACTCATTATGTTTCAGGATCCACATAAACTGGAGCTAAGGGTTCTACAGAAACACACTAAAGAAATAGAGAAACAGGAAAAAGACAAAAGATTGGCAAAGTTAAGAGAGAAGGTAACTTTTTGTTTGTTTTAACCAGAGATGTGTGCAGCTTGGTGGTTTAAGCAGCTTGGTGGTTTAAGCTTGGTGTTTTCTTTTCATTGATCTTAAAAGGCAGTTGTTTTAAATTATCTAACTAGTTGATAAGGAAAACAAAAAGTCATGCCTTGTTATCAGTAGACAGAATTGCAGCAGGCATAGTTGTTCCTGTTTAAAAAAAATGGGGAAAAATTCCTAGAATTTGTGTCTCTCATAGTAGTATTTCACTGGGTAAGGCCTATAAAAGTGAGCTCCAATGTGGGTGGTGGCTTTCATTTTTCATATAATTTTCTACCATTAGTTAAATAAGTAGGCTGTCTCCCAGAAGCATTTTGCATATACTGGGTTTAAAAAGAGTTTAACCTTTTAAATTATTAAAATTTAATGTGAGCAAGTGGTGTCACTGTCTTCTGCAGTGAAGACCCAATGAGCGTCATGGAACTCCTTTTGTGAAGAACGAAAGAGGCTAATTATTTTTGGTTGTTTGTTTCACTCTGAGGTCGAGGTTCGGGTGACCAGAGACCAATCCAGGTTGAACAGACCTTCCAAGGGCTGGGAGGAACGCAGTCAAGAGATGGCACCAGCAGCTGCAGAACCGCTGTTGCGTGTTTCTCAGAGGTGAGGAGGGGACCGATGGATGTGCAGCATGACACAAGTGCACTTTTATATTTTAAGCCTTTTTGTTTTCTTGTCAGAGCTGTCCCAGCCTGGAGAGGAGGGTCCTAGCTGCGCACCAGCATGTCCCAGCCGCAGTACGGAGCAGCAGCCAGCACTTCCCGGCACAGAGCCGGCCTGACCCATAGCGTGTATTACCTCTGTCTTTTGCGAGTGTCGGGTTTGACACGCCGGCTGCCAGACCGGCCGGCTGTGACGTCCCTTGGCATTAAAAGCGCGTTTTCCCCGCAGCTGGTTGTGGCGGTCCCTTAAGCGTGGGGTGGCCACGCCGGCCCCCGCCGCAGTGCACTGAGGCGCCCTTTCCCCTTCCCGTTCCCCCGTTCCCTTTCCCCCCTATCCTTCCTTTCCCTTCCCTTTCCCTTTCCCGCTGGTTCCCCCTTCCGTTTCCCCGCCCCGGGGCGGGCGCCGCGGGTGACGCGATCCGGGCGCGCCGGGCGCGGGCAGCAGCGGCGAGATGGAGATGGCGGCGGCGGCGGCGGCGGCGCCGTGCCCGGGGGAGCCGGAGCGGCTGGACTTCCTGCGGGAGCGGCACGTGCGCTTCTTCCAGCGGTGCCTGCAGATCCTGCCCGAGCGCTACTCGTCCCTGGAGACCAGCAGGTAGCAGCGGGACGGGCGCCGCCGTGTCCGCCCGGCGCCCCCCGCCCGTCCCGGCCCGGCCGCGCTCCCCTCCCGCCGGGCGGTCGCGATGCCGGGAAGCCTCTCCCGGAGCGCTGCCGTCTCCCGCGGCCGGGAGCAGCGCCCCGCGGCCTGAAGGAAAAACATCCCTATAAATCTGCCCACCAGCAGACGGCTCCCAAAAAATACGTGTTAGTGTAGGGGTGTAGTCACCGCTCGCGTAAACTGCTTGACATCCACGAGGGAAGACTTGTTGATCTTTCTAATCTGTTTTAAATCCAGTGCTTCACTCTCTTAATCTGCCTTGGAAGCCATTTTAAAATAAATCACCTAAGCTTCGGCACGCAGGAGACTCCTCTTCATGTAACAAATATTTTTAAGTCTTCATTACCTAGTATAAAAGAGAAAATACTAGTGAAATATGTTCCTCACTTTCAATTGGAGAGGCATTTTTTCCTCTAATGTTTTCAAAATGTCTTTATATTCTTACATCAGAAGCATAAAAATACCAGTAATGTGATTAGCAAGCTGCACTTGGTAAAATATTGGAGACAAGTAGATGGTTTGATAATCTTATTCAGCCAATAAAATAGTAAAATTCTTTCCACTTTATAATGTCTGTGCAGCAAGCTCCATGGCTTTGATCAGGTCATCCTGCTTTATTTTGGTTGAGAGCACTAACACCTGGCATAAACATGTAAGGACTAGAACAGGTAGTGCTGAGCTGGGTGTGAAATAACACAACTTTATATTGAAAAGTTAGAAATAGAACTACTGGAGAGGGGCCAGCAGAGGGCTTAGAAGATGGTTAAGGGACTGGAGCATCTCTCCTGTGAGGAAAGGTTGGGTGAGCTGGGCCTGTTCAGCCTCAAAAAGGGATGACTGAGAGAGGGTCTTACCAATGCATTCAAGTATGTTAAAGGGTGGATGCTGAGAGGATGGGGCCAGACTCTTTAAGTGGTCCCTGTGACAGGGCAAAAAGCAGCAGACAGAAACACAGGAAGGTCCATCTCAGTGGAGAAAAACTTCCTCATATTGGGCTGATCACTGAAACAGATTGCCCAGGGAGGTTGTGGAATTTTCTTCCCTGGAGATAATCAAAACCTGCCTGGACACAATCCTGTAAAAACTGCTCTGGGTAAACCTGCATTAGGAGAAGGGGGTTGTATGAGATGATCTCCAGAGGTCCGTTCCAACCCCAGCTATTCTGTAATTTTGTGACATTTTGGTTGCACAGGTGTAGATCATTTATTCGTTAAAATTAGTTGGTGTTTCAGTCTGCTTTCTCATTTATTTTAGGTGACAGCAAGGGGAAGTCTAGGCATTCTATGCCTGTGTATAGGCCTTAAAATGACCACAGCATGCAGATGTACTAGAGCAATAACACAAATAGCTAACCTTAGCCCCACTGACATTTGAAAAGAGTTAAAGAAATGGGATGTCTTCAGCCTAGAGGAGGGATCTAATCACAGTCTTCCATGGGTGAGAAACTACTTCCAAAGAAAGACGGAGGTGTGCTGTTTGCAAGGGATCATGGTGACGGGGCAGGAGGCTGTGGGAATGAGGTACTTGGGGGAGAATTGTGTGGCTGTAGAAAAAATGTTCTTCACTGTTAGAAGAGTTAACCGTAAAAAGCTTGCCCATTGAAGTGATGGAGTCACCTTTGAGGATGTGGCTTCTCAGGATCCTGGGTCATCTCCCCTGAGGCCCTGTGTTCTTGAAAAGGTGGGACCAGTGATCTCCAGAGGCCCTTGACAATGTAGACATGTTCTGCAGGGCTGCATACCTGTCTGTTAACAGATTCTGAGTGGGAGATTGAGCCATAAATGCATAAATTCCAGCTTGATTTCAAGGGTATTATTTCCCTTCTTGCCAAGTTCAAGGTCACTGAGTTCAGCAAACCTCTGGAGCTGATTCAGCTGCAGAAAGAAATGCTGTTACCCTTTTTTCGTATTTCCCCTGTTCCTGAATTGGAGTGGTTCTATTTTGAGTTAGATGGGGAAACTCAACTAAATTAAAGAGAGATGTGTTAAATAAATAAATAAAGTCATTTGTCAGATCTTTTTTTCACTGCACTGCAGTAGAAAACTGTATTTGTTGTCACCAGACAAGGATGGTAGAGGAATTTTCCTCACTGTGATGGTGCATTCCAGCTTAAGCTGTCAATTGTCAAACAATAACGGAGAATAAAGAAAATTCATTTCATGTTCTCTGCTCAACTTCTTGCCTCAAAACCCTTTGTAATTATTTTTATCTGTAGCTATTCACATGCAACAGTAGCTGCTGCAAGAGTAGTTTTTTAACATTCTGATTGATGGTGTTTCATACACATTGATTGTCAGCACTGTGAGGTTTTGCAGGAAAATGCAACTTTCTGGTCTCTGAAGTCTTTAAGATTCTGGTACTCTTTTTTTAAGATTCCAGTGCTCTTTGTAGCACATTTAATCAGTTTCTCAAATTTGTCACTTCCAGTGCTTTTTGAATTCTTCTGTAAAACTGTAGTCTTTGTCCTCGTTTGAAGACAAAGAGACAAAGGGGTCTGAATCTGCCATCCAAAGTGTCCTGGTGGCCATCCTCTGTGGAAATGGTTGTAAATAAAGTTTTACACTTCTTGGCATGTGTCTGTCACCTGAGGTGCTGCTAAGAGTTGCTCTTGCTAGGACATATGTCTGTTAATTTTCGGTGAGGGAGGATAGCATATGGAGAAAAGATGCAATACCTAAACAGCTGTATTGCAACCTGTGTATGACCAGTGCTGCCAGACACTCTTGCCTACCATAAATAAATTCCATCACACTACAGGCTGTTCTTCAGTAATGCTGGAGACAGTCAACTCTGAATAAATGAACTGAACCCTAACTATACTGAAAGCTACTTTTTAAGTGTATATATCTGACACATGCATTTTCAACTGTAAATGAGATTTGCTGTCTATGTTGTATGTATAGCCTTGTGGTTTTGGACTTTGCAGCAGTTTCTAGTGTGGATGTTGGCATGTTTGTGCCTCATTGGAAGTAACTTAGCTGGGTAAGATGGAGTGAAAATGTCTTTTTAATAGCTCTAGTAAAAGATTGTCAGTGTTCATGAAGATCAGAACATACAGGCAGTGTTTCAAAGAAATAGTTTATTGTAGCTGAACAGTAAATTCCTTGTTTTTTTAAAATAAAATAAGTGATTTTTTTTGTTAGTTATTTATTATCCAGGGTCAAATTCTGGGTTAAACAGAGATCTGATCAAAAAGTTGATATAAGTCTTGAAGTGTTTATTTTACACTTTGAAAAACAATTTCTTAGTCATCAGAAGGGTTAAAATAGACTCTTGTTCTACATAGAATCATTTTGTGTGCAACATACTTTTTCTGGCTTTCTCAATATTTGAAATAATGACAGTAAATATACATATTTTACTAGCTAGCTGGTAGGAATGTCACCTTAGGAGGTTGTGCCACTGTATTGAGATTAACATCTGCTGCGTTGCCATTTGGCTGCTGTGTTTTAATTAGAATAATTCTTTTGGATGTGTGCTTTGGGCTGACTCACATGGTCTTACTGTTTGTGGTTCTGATGCAGAACCTCATGCAGACATTAAGTGGCTGTGATGGCTCCTGTCCACATCTGTCTCCTCAGAGGTACCAACCTCTGGCCAGGGTGGCTCACCAGTTTGTGAGGTAAATACGAATTACAACTTAATCTTGTAAGGAAAGTTGGTATTAAGTGTTGGCTTTCCTTTGCGTACTGTATTTTAGTTTCTGCATGTGTAGCAGTTGTTTCACAATCCATCATCTTATCTGGTGTATGGAGAGCAAGAATTTCTAGAAGGGTCAGACAAGTGTGGGTGGCAAAATAAACATCCAGCTAATTTCAGTGAGTCAGAACATCCAAGGTACCATTACAGGAGTGTTTTCTCTCACAGTAAGTGCTCCCAAGTTCCTAACCCAGTGCTGTTGCTTTGGTGCTCTGTCAGAGTGAGTAATGCACTGCTGGAGGGCCATGCCAGGGGTGGCTGCAATGGTTTGAGTTAAAACAAACCCAGTAAAGAAGGTGCTAATTAGCAGGTATGATAGCACACATTCATGGAAGGAAACAAGTTGTAGGAAAGAAGGACGTTCAGCATGCTAGCTACTCCACTGCTCTGTGGGATACTTGAATGTGACATGCTTAATTTTGGATGTTTAAGTAAGGTAGTCATCTAGGCTGCTTTGCACCCAGGGACCAGAAATAAATACCTCTAGATGTTAATTCATTCTATATGCCTATTTATGCATTGTTTGCTTACAAAGTAGGTTTTGCTGTTTGACCTTGACATCTGAAATTGGGTTTGAGACATAATAAGAGGCAGCTTACTATAGTTAAGGGTTACCTTGCATATCTGCCTAATGCATGTTTAGGGGATTGTTCATGTAAGAATTCTTCACAGAGAACTAGTTCTCCATATGTTGATATCATAACCTAGTTTACTTCTTAGTGGGTTGTTTTGTTGGGGTTTTCTTTTGGGTAAACAGGCCCTTACATAAATTTTTAATTGACATATCATTATTATATAAAAGGAGGGACAGCTTATATGAAAAATCTTGCTGAGGCAGAGAAATGTTTTCAGTACAAAGAACATTATTTTGTCCGGTAGATGACTTTCATGTATTCTAAGCTAGGCTGTGTGTTGCACCACTGTCAAAGGCTGAGAATTCATAGATGTGTCTGTTGCTGCAACCGTTTGTTAATTTCCCCATGATATTTATGGTGGGAAGTGTAAGTCTTATCTTTTTCTTTTAGGTTGACAATTGCATTTTTCGCACTCTCTGGTCTGGATATGTTGGATTCCTTAGATGTGGTGAACAAAGATGATATAATAGAATGGATTTATTCCCTGCAGGTCCTTCCCACAGAAGACAGTGAGTGAGTTTTTAGTTTTTTTTAATTGATATTAACATTTTTACTTTTGCTTTTTACTTGGGGAATAGTGGATGACTCTTGTTTTTATAAAATACAAGGTTGACCTTCCTGAAGTACAGTCCTGATAATTTCAGGTAGTGATGTTTAGCAGATCTTGGATATAGATCCCTCACAAGTAATAAAGCTAGAAAAAGCCAAAATTAATTGAAGATCAGCCAGTATAAAATAGTATAATAAAGTTATTTATTTATATATATATATATATATACACACATATATATGCACCTTTAGGTATTTCAGAGGAATGTTTCACCTGCTTCTAAAAGAAATGCATTTGTTTTAAAAGTATTACAAGTGTAATAGTGATTATATTGACTTCCACTTCAATGCCAGGATCTGTGATCACAGGTGTGGTTTTTTACAACAGCTTTTGGAGATTTGGAGGTGTAAGAGTAAGAAGCAAAAAGGATAAATGCAGTCCCTGCCTGATGTTCCTTAGATCTGTGACGGTTGAATTTACCCTAGGTTTTGAGAAGGAATAATGCTGCTGCTGAATCCCAGCTGTCCTCAGAATGGAAGGTGCATAGCAGAAAAGCTGGCAAGGGAACTCGCAGGAAATGTCCCTTTCCTGGCTGGTTTGACAGAAGTTAGGGAGGTGCTGTTCCTGTGGGCTAGTTGGTGTTGGCAGTTTTTTGTGTGGCAGCCCAGGGGAATGGCTGTTAGCACTACAAGGAGTGGGAAGGAGGGAGGGAGACGTAGGTGAGGCACTGCTGCTCTATGACAGAAGGTGCTGGCGTGTTAAATGCTGCTGTGGGCATAGCTCCAGGCTGGTGGTCTCTCCAATTGCCTGTCTGTAAAATCATTAATACATCCATCCATGTACTTTGGATGGATATAGGCAGAAAATTCAGTGTTTCCTTCTATTATTTATTCTAATTATATACAACAAATAATATTTGTCTCTAAATACAACAAATTAGGTCTCTAAAATCAGTTTTATGAAATAAGCATATGGAAGTCAGGACTGCTGGTGCTTTATTTTTACAGTAATAAAAAAAATCCTTTTTCTTACTCTGGAGATTTAGAAACCATCAGATCCACCACAGGAACTAGTTTTGATGGATTTGTTTTTTCTCATATTGCCTTCCAGGACTGATTCTTAAAAAATAGGAGTTTGGGTTATATAAATAATCCTACAAAGTTTTTTAATGATTAGAAGGTTCCTGTGCTTCTTACTGTTAAGAAATCTTTCCACAGTGTACGTGCTTTGTTTCTAGAAGTTGCTCACTTTGTGACTTTTATACCAGTCTTTAGGATTTAATTCCAAAAGAAGAGGGAAGTTTGCAAGAAGAGAGATTAGACCAGGCATTTCTGTTTGTTTGTTTGTGTTTGATAGTATGCAGTAATTCTCTGGGGATTCTACCTGGTCAGTGTTTAGAATATTGCCATTGTCTGGAGCCTCCTAGGGAGGGCAGTAAAAATATCAGTGTGCAGATGTACAGGCTGACAGTTTGGCAGAGATGTGCTCCTTCTTTTTCTAGCAATCATCCCCTCAAAACTGAGAGGAGTTTTGGGGAGGGCACTTTTGGCAGTGCACTCTGTGCTTTCCAGGTAATAAATCTGCTTTTCACTAGAAGAACAAGCTGCCCTTCAGTTCTGTGTTTTTGTATCATACTGTAATAACTCTTGTTCTTCCTTGGTAATAGCACTGCTCTTATCTGGTCACTTGACTGCTAAAACTTCAGCGTCATTTGTTTTTCCTTTTTGCTTTTTCTGTTGGACAAAATGTGCAATAGAAAGTGCAAAATGTAAATGATGCTGATAGCAGCAGGCTAGATATTGAATGACTAAATGTGAAGAAGGAAACACCTACACTCTGGTAATGTCTACTTCCAGTAAATTGTATTGGCTCTCTGGTTTATAATCCCGAGTGGGTGCAATGCTTGTTAATTGGCAGCCTCCCAGCAGCAGAGCTCCTACTCCCTCTTTCGGCCTCTTTGGAGAAGTGACTAAACTGTGGTAGGCTACAGCACTGAAGTTTTTGGTTTCAAAGTGCTTGTGCATCTCCAGTTAAAGAGGAGATTCCTAGCTTGATGGATTGGAATCTGTCTGGATTTGAACAAAAAGAAAACCAAAACCAAGAAAGCAAAATGTTTTACTTTTAAAGAAACATGCTATTGCTCAATTTTTTTCATGCATTCTGATAAATGTCTCTTTCCCTGGAATATTGATTTATAAAAATTCAAATTAAAATACTCTTTTATAATGATGAATTCCACCAATCTAAAGTAACTGCATTGTATTTAAGGAAAGTCTTCACAAAGTTTGGCTCTGGGACTGAAAACCAATTTAAAAGCTACATTTTAAATAGTAGTATGTTTTTACAGAATCTTGGGCTTGTTATTGATTGCATCAGTGGTTGAATTTCTAAAATTTGGTATCAGTCAAAAAGAGAACTCCTGTAATTCTTACTGGAAAATAAATTTCTTTGCTTTTCATGTTTGTCCCTCCAAAGGTTCCTTTATGCACAGCACTTAACTTGATTTTTATTTAAAGCATTTTTTAAGAGGGTAAATTCATATTATTTTGAGAACTACTGCTACCTTAGAGTCTTCTTTCCAGTGGATGGGAGACAGAGTAGTTGGTGCTCCACAAACTTAGTATCTGTTTATCAATAACTGTTAAAGTGGGTGCACTGGCTGGGCTAGAATTAATTTTTTTTACAGCCGCTTCTAATCTGCTGTGTTCTGAGCCTGGTATCAAAAGAGTGTTTTAGTCTTTCAGCTGTTGCTGAGCAGTGCTAATCAAGGCTAGCTCTTTTTGCCTCCTCTGCACTCCTTTTCCAATGGCAGGTATCGCAGGGGACACAGCCAGGACAGCTGACCCAGGCTGACCTCTGGACTATCCAGAGGGACACTCCATAGCATCTAGCATCATTTTCAGAAAAAAACCAAAACAAAACAAAAACAAAAACAAAAAAAAAACCAACAAAAAAACAAAAACAAAAAAACAAAAAAACCCCAAAAAAACAACAACAACAAAAAACCAACTTGGGAAGAGAAGGAGAAAGGGGGCAATATTCGTGGTTGTGGCATTTATCTTCCTGAGTAACCCATACACTTGCTGAGGCCCTGCTTTCTGGGAAGTGACTATATACCTGCCCAGCTGATGGGAAGTAGTAAATGAATTCCTACTTTGCTTTGCTGTGCACCCACACTATCAAACTGTCTGTCTCACTCTCTGAGTCTTCTCTTCATCTCTCTGTTTTCTTGCCTCAGCTGCTGGTTGGAGTCAACCCACTACAGCAGAGTGTTACAGAACCTGCTAGAAAATTCAGAATTTGGTGATTTAGAGCACTTCTTGGATAAAGTCTCGCAATACCCTATGATAGTCTTAAGTGACATGTTTGTATTTACTGGTATGTAGTATGTCTAATGGCTAATGACAGCTTCACTTTAGAGGTTTGTAGTTTTAAACCAAAGCACACTAATGTTGAGATCTTGATCTACTGAGTAAGAAGGCAAACATATGCTCTGTCAGCCTAATCAAAATGCACTTGAGGAAGCTGAAGATTAGAATCTGTCAGGATAGACTGTATTCTTCTGTGGGTTTGTTGTAGCTGTGATTCAAACAAAATATGTCTTTTTGGTACCAAAAGTTTAGCTCAAGTCTTCCAGAAGCTGGCTCAATACCACTTCTAATTAGGAAGGAATGGCAACACATCACATGTGCAAACTGAGCCTCACACAGAAACACATTCTTAGCTGAATGCTTCCACTTACTGCTGCCTTCTGCTTGTTTGAAGGATCCCCATCTTCTGTAACTCATGCTAAATAGTTTGGCTTTATCTTTGATTTTGGCCATTGTTACCTTTCCTTCCCTTTTAGTGAATGCTTTACTTAGGTGGATAGCTACTGTGTGGTTTTGTTTTCTTTCTGTGGTCGCTGCAAGAAGACCTAACTATGTTTCCTCTTAGAAAGAAGTTGAAATCTTAAAAAGTGCATTTTTCTTTTTTAATTTTGTGGAGGGTAATGTTCTTTTACAAGCTTCGCAGAAATGATACATTTTTAGATTAAAATGCTACTTTTTGAAGTGTTAGTGAAATTGGGAAAGGGTTGACAAAACACCCTCTTTTAGCTAGTTGCTTGTTCTTAAGATGATGTCAGTGTTTTACTGTTTTTCCTCTCTTAGTGCAGCTCCTTGACAGAGCTATTTCAAGTTTATTTTAACTAACTAAAGTGCAACTCATACAATTTAAGAAAGATGTATCCCAGTTTCTTGCAAGTCACATTCAGGGCCAGTTCAGCACTTTTAAAAGAGAGTGAATCCAGAGCTTTGTACTCAAGTAATCTAATTACACAGTGGAAGCACACTGCTTGGCCATATTCATCTACCATCCTCCCCCATAGGAACAGTGGCATTTGTTTGACCCTGCTTGAGAGCTTGCTGCAGCGGCAGAAAAACACGCATTTATTTATTTAACAGAAGGTTAGCTTTGTGTTGCATTGGTGAACTGTGTTGATTGGGAGCGCCAGTGCCAGCCCACTATGGGAGAAGGAAGAAAATTGTGTTTTTGACAGCTGGATGCTTCACTAGCTTTGCTGTACTAAAAAAATGGAACTAAAAGGAATACCAAAACATATGTTATTTATTGGTCTGAATCCCCAGGACCCATGGATACTAGACTGAAAACCAGTATGATACGTGACAGACCTAAAACTTACTTCTGTCAAAGTCTAAATTCAGATTTTTATTAATGATTCTTTCTTCTTATGTGGCAGTACTGAAAGAAATGTATAAAATGACATTGACTTTTTTGAAATCATTGATACATGTGAGCTTTCTGATCATGAGTTTCTTGAGGGAAAATGCAAATTTTCTTCCAGCCTGACTTTCTTTTATGGCTGCATCTGAGGTGTTTATCTAGATGTATAATGGACATTTTGGAGAATGCAACTTTGCATTTAGTGACATCCTCTAGTGCTTTGATGTACAGGAGCAATCACAAGCTCTAGTTCAGTGAGAAGAGCTTATGCTTACTTTTATCTGGATGTATGGACTGAATCAGCCTATAATTAAAGCTGTGATTTTTTTTATACATTATAAGATTTTAGTAATGTGTGTAAACTCCTGTAGTTAGCAAAAGGAGACAAGTCTTGCAGCCAGAGGAATGCATAGATAATCTGAATGTGAAAAATTAGTGGTAAAAGTTTATCAATTCTTCCATGCAAGAGAAATCATAAAATATAAATAACAAAAATTCCCTGTCTGTAAAAAAAGAGCTCATAGGATAAGTTGTCTGTGGTCATCACTTGAAACTCTTTTACATATCTTAAGGACTTTCTGGTTTAAGGACGCATAAGTAACATTTTTTTCTTCACAGGGAAGTTTCAGCTGCTCTTGATTTAAGCATGAAGTCTCTTGGTTTTGGAAAAGGGTCCGTTTTCTTTAGTTGTCAAATGTGAAACATTTTTCCAGGTGTGTTTTTTCAGCTTTCGAACCACCACAAATAGTTACACAGCAGTTTATGAAGTATTTGTTACTCTTTGCTCTGTCTTAAGCTCCTGTAGAAAGTGGCTAAGTAAGGTTGGTGGTGGAAGTGAACAGCAGGTGGTACCATTTCACAGCTGCAGTTGAGGTGAGGCACAGCAAACTCTGCTACAGCTGAACTGGCCACTCCAGCAGTTTTGCCCCAAGGCACATAGGCTTCGATCACATCCTTTTAATTTGTTTCTGTTTCGTTTTTAACTCTATTTCTGATTCTGACAGCCCGTTTTTGGTTCAGGAAAGTGAAGAGTTTGATTAGCAATACTAAGCTATTACATAAAACAAGAAGTACAAGTAAATTGCAATAAAATAGTAAAGCCAACTTTACAGAAGATGAAATTTCACTTTGTAAAGTTTCTTTCATAAACTGAAAGAGAGTAATTTCCGGTAACTTGCCTTTGGTTTTCATTTGATTTTCAACTAATATGGTCACAGGATGCTAAAAAACCATTTTGAGACGCTACATCAGTGTTCCAGAGTCCTGTGGTTAAAAACAAGCTGTGTTCACTTCCTGTTTTAATGCTTCCTTTATCAACTCAGAATTCTATTTTTTACTTCATGTACTGTGACTAGAGATTTAGTAACTCCCTTGTAACAGTCTAGGAAGGTCTAGGAAGCATCTATTGCAAGCACATTAATGCATTTAAGGGGGGAGATGATCAAATTCCCTGCAAAGTTTGCCCTAAGGTTTTCCTAAAAGGGCATGCTGGTCTTCTCTTTTTCCTAGGAGCCAGTGTATGAAGTTTGGAGTGGGAGATGAGAAGTACTGACAAAAAGTGTCAAAATAGATTTTTAAATTCATAGCAATACAGTTAAAAATCCAACTTTAAATCCAATTTTAAAATTGTGAATTCTGTTTTCTAGTTGATAAAAGTTCAGTAGTAGAAGAAAGGTTTTGAAATACTACTTGAAATTTGAACATCTAAAGGGAGTAATACATCATGATTTCATTAATGTAGTTTATTTTTAATCTATTTGTATAGCATCTGTGAGCTCAGAAGGGGATCAGACTGACCCACTAACAGCACACAAACTTGTGTTTCATGCTGCCATTTCTACCTTGATAATGAATTACAAGTTACAGTCCAAAAGGCCAGTGATGAGGATTGGTATTTCTGGGATGAATCCTTCCATCTAGCAACTATCAGCTGAGTTCTGTTCAGCTGCAGAGCTGTCTTAATTGTAGCACGTGTCCTTTGCAGTAGGCCAGAATAGCTGTGTTAGTAGCACAATATCTCTTTTCTAGGTAAAGGGTTTCCATACCAGTATCATTTCAAAGTGAGGGTTCTAGTTTGCTTAAGCACTTAAGACACAGGTTAATTTTTACTGAAAATGAATATGAATGTGATTTTTTTCCCCCCTCCCACGATGTCACCTCGGAAATCTGGGACTTACCAGGCAAGAATTCTAGGTCTTCTCTTACTGATTTGTTCACATTGTGTCATTTTTGAAATTGTGATGCTTTTTTGGGCGGTGTCCTTTGGGACTTTAGATTAGTCTTTAAGACTCAATTAATTTTTTATGCTTTCCAGAGGCAGAGGCGACATGAAATGCAAGTTTTTGACTCTGCAAGTGAATAGACAAATGTTCTCTGCTAAGAATGTTTATATTATAATAAAACAGATATTATTTTTTTCTTTTTGTTTCCTCTGTGTGGATCAGATTATGGCGCACCAGCTTTTAAGCAGGCTGAAGTTGCTTTTGTTACATGTGTAGAATCATTAAGAAGTGCTTTTGACTGAACTGTGGAGGAAGTGGAGAATTGCAGGTGTTTCACTCTATGTCAGTTAGCTCCAAGGACTTGGCTGGCAGAGAAACTTGCACACTTCAGGCCAAGTTGAAATTCTTAAGCTAATAAAACCTTTCTAGTTTAAATTTTGCATATATACAGAGTATGTTTAGAATTAGAAGGTAATATGCTGCTAAATTATACCAGAGCTTGTAGGCCACGTTGCATAGTGATGTGGCTTAGAGCTTTCAGCTTTATAAATATTCATTCTTATTTATTCTGGGGCAATTTTCTTTAATATCCATGAAGATTTTTAGCTTAAAGGCTGAATAACTTAAAAGAGGTCAATAGTATTTAAGAACAACCAGCTGCTGTTTGACTGTGGCATTCATTCATTAGGTTTTTAGTTTCAGACATTGAGCAGTAAACTGAGGTTTTGCCATGCACAAGCAAGTTTTGAGTCCTGGGAAGCTGTACTTAAACTCTTGACAACATTTGGTTCATGGTTCTTTGTGCCACATGCTCAGGCATTGTGATTGGTTTGAAACAAATTACACTGTATCACTGACAGAAATGTTTGATAGCTACAATGTGCTTAAAACTGCGAATTGTTTATCCTTGAACGTGTTGCGAAGTATCTTGAAACAGTTCTGCTTGGGAACAGATGGTATTACCAGGCAAGAATCCAGAGAGGAATAAAAAAAATATGTTAACTCTGGCCATTTTCCCAGGGGAGCAGTCCTTTTCTCTTTTTTTCATGTGGGCATGGAAGACAAGTCTGTGGTGACACAAACTGTATTTCCACCAAATTAAAAAAACATTAAAAATCTGATGCTTTGTGTTTTGTCACTACACCAATAAGTAAGTTAAGTTTGCTTGTGGTTTTCTTTATTTTTTTTTGTTAATGAGAGAGATACTGAACTAAGGTTGGGAAATGAGAGACACATGCACATTTTATTATGTCTGCGAATAGTGTTGAGCTAACGGGTCTTGATCTCATTAGATAATTATAGTTTATAATAAATGTTTCAACAAAACAAGTTAGTTGAGTATTGTTTTAATCTTTTACAGGATCAAATATGAATCGCTGTGGATTCAGAGGTTCTTCATATTTAGGGATGCCATTCAATCCCTCCAAGGTGAGTTAAGAATGTGAAATGTTTTCAATTAAGCAATAAATGATCTTGTGTCTTTTCTATAATATTAATTGCATAATTACAGAATGTCTGGACAGCAGGGAATTTTGTACTGTTAATAATACTGAAATGTTTGCAGAACTTTTAAGAAATGTGCATAAGAAACATAGTAAAATGATACCTAGAACTTAAATTCTCACAGCAGTGAAGAAACTGACACACAAATTGTGGCTCATCTCAGTGCAGTCTCCTCCTTCTCTGGTCTTCTCCTAACAAAGGAAAACTTCTCTAGCTGAAGAATTGTCATGAGTTAGAGAAGCTGGGCAGAACAGCCCTAATTAAGTGATGCAGAACATGCTGTTCTTTGGTATCATAGAAAGGTTCAGGCTGAAAAGGGCCCTTAAGATCATCTAGCTCCTGTCCCCTTGCTGCAGGCAGGGACACCTTCTGCTAGACAGATTGTTCAGCATCTCATTCAGCCTGGCCTTGGATGTTTCCAGGGATGAGCATTCCACAGCTCTGGACAATCTGTTCCAATGCCTCACCACCCTCACAGTTAAGAATTTCTTCCTAATATGTAGTCTAAACCTGTTCTCTTTCAGTTTGAAGCCATTCTCCTTGTCCTGTCACTGCATGCTTGACAGGACAAGGAGTCTCTCTCCATCATTCTTGTAGGTCCTTTTAGGATCTGGAAGGCCACAATTAAGTCACCTCAAAGCCTCCTCTTTTCCAGGCTGACAAATCCCATAGCCTTTTTTTATATAGAGCCCTATCTCTCATAGCCTTTTTTTATAGGAGAGGTGCCCCAACCCTCTAATGAACTTAGTGGCCTCCTCTGAATGTGTTCCAACAGGTTCCTATGCTCCCTGTGCTGAAGACCCCAGGCCTGGACACAGCATTCCACATGGGGTCTCACCAGAGGAGAGCAGAATCCCCTCCCTCCCCTCCCCTGCTGCCCACGCTGCTTTGGATGCATACCAGGACACATTTGGCTTTCTGGACTGTGACTGCCCAGGGCCAGGTCATGTCCAACCTCTCATCCAGCAGAACCCCCAAGCCCTTTGCTCTCCATGACTTCTCTTCCTCTCTGTACCCTCCCAGTCTGGGGTTGTCCTGACCTGGGTGTAGCACCTTGCACTTGGTCTTGTTAAATATCATGAGGTTCTCATGACCCACTTCTGGAGCTTGTCCAGGTCACTTTGAGAAAAGTGAATCCCATCTGATGCTGCCAGTGTGTCTGGTGCCATGTAGGCCATCCCACTGTCAAAAAAACACCTAAAATCTTGGCAGTGACACCAACCAGGGAGGCATGTATTAATAGACTGGGCCTGGCTGTTTCTTCCAAAGTGAGTGTCTGCAAGTGTCAGTGTTTGCAACTGGTATTTCTCTTCCTGTGTTGAATCATTCATATTTGACTGCACCTGATACCCACCCAGACTTAGGCATGTCTGTTCATCTCTGTTTGTCATGACAATGAGAGCAAATGCTTTGAAGCCCAGTTCAAGAGAGTTCTTCCATGTGAAAAGAAAATGCTTTTAATAAAAGACAGAAATGAGATTAGCAGAGGCTAGTTTGGTGCTTTCACGGATTTTTCATCTACTTTTCAGTACAATTTGATTCACTCTCAAACACAGGACAGAACTACTATACTTCTTTTGCAGTCCTTCCTGCACACTGGCCTCTACTTTCCTTTTCCAGTTGTATCATACCTTTAGCAGCTCTACAGTGTAGTATTTTAAATAGTAGTAGTAGTAGTGCATACTTTTGGAAACCTTTTTTAAATCCTCCCCAGTGTATGAAGCTAGAAGAGTTTATTCTGCATATAGTTCTGAGATCACGTAAAGGGCTGTGAAGACAAAAAGTCTGTAAGATTGGCAGAGCATTGTTTTCTCCTCCCAGCACTTTCTGGTGTTTTAATTTAATTCTCGCCTTCGTATAGTAAATGCTTCATACTGAAATATTATCTTTACTGGAAATATGTTGCTGTCCACTGGTGTCTTAGAATGTGTTGGCCACTATACATATGAGATAAAGGGGTGGAATCAAGTTACTTGTAGAAATTAGCTACAAGGTCACTATCTCTAGAAAATTGTTTGCACATGAATGTGGTTTTTATTCAAGCATTGCAGTACTTTCTTCATTGTATCTGCATTTGAAAGATTGCATCTGTTTGATTTATTGGCAAATAAAGGTTTAAAGCATTTCCAGCACTGTTGCCTGAAATGTCCTGAAATAACTCAGAAAAAAGAGTTAGAAATTCACTGCCATGACTCTGGGATGTGTTTACGGTCAAGTAATTTTTCTTTTTTCATTATTTAAAAGTGTTCTATTAAGTCTGCCATAAAAAATACTTTTTGAAAAAGTCTGTAAGCATTTTGGATTTGCATGGACAATTGCTATCTATTGCATGCCACTATAGTGATTTCATTCTTGAGCTCTTAAGAAAGTGATAGCCAAATCTATTCAGTCAGTAGGGGCCCTTCAAACTAATAGAAAAATGTGAAGGTTATGTTAGAATGTCCAGCTTTACTAAATCTCTCAAGAGCAGGTTATTTGGGTTTGATTTGGGAGTTGTGGTGTTTTAGCTGTTGCCTTTGAGGTGTTTGACAGCAGTGTCTTTGCAGCTTTTTGGGACAAAAGCAAAAGTGAAACAAAACCATATCCGCTTCACCGACTCACAACACAGCCCTCATGAGATGTAGCAGTCTTTACTGTGAATGAATGCTAAGAGTGACTCCTCTAGCTTCACATTCAAAACATGATTGCTTTTAGAATTAGAAAATTATTTTATACTGAAATGGCTCCAGATTTTGAAGTGTCTCAGATTTGCTGTTACTGCAGTTTAAACTAGCTTTTTAATTTAGGGCTAAACAGCCTCCTCAAAGTTTCAGGTAGGCCTAGGTCTTTTCAGTATGTTGAAAGTGTTGTGATTAAGTTTTAGTATGTTGAAAGCATTGTGAATCAGAATTTTGTTTTCAATAGCTGCAACTTTTATGTAACATTGTGGTAATTAACATGTCCTTTCACTTGGGGGGAAAAAAGATATCTTTTGTGTTCCTGACACAACATTGTATTTTCTCAAGGCTGCAACACTGATACTGGTGAAAGATGAATAGTTATAAATATTTTGCAGAGTGAATCACAGAAAAGATAACAATAAATAGAATATAAAAGTAAATGTAAGATTAAAAATAAATACTATAAAGACCCAGGAAGCTTGGGCCAAAATATCTCTGTACTAATATTTTTTTATTTTAAGCAGGCATCTCTGTATATTTTAAGGGGTCCTGTGAAACATGGTCTACTGAAAAGTGTCTCTGTCCATGGCAGGGGAGTTGCAGCTAGATGACCTTAAGGTCCCTTCAAGCCCAGGCCATTTTGTCGTTCCACAAAGTGAGAAACTTAGCAAAAGGTCTTGCAGAATAGTTTTGAAACTATTAAAGAGATTACAGAAGCAGAGACACCTTGGATTAGTGGCTAGATACTAGCCACTAATTATTTGGCAACAGCTAAAATCTTGTACTTTAAATGAACTTAAGAACATGAAAAAGACGTCTCTAAAGCTGAGGCTACCCATGTCCAAGTAAAGACCCCTACGAATTGAACACCTGCAAAATGTGTTGTGAAATACAAAATCAAAGCATGCAAAAGATAGATTGTCAAATAGCTATTGAGTAGGCATTTATTTAGAAATTAGGTAATTACGTGTGGTATTCACATGCCCTCCGAATGGAGAAAAGCAGAGAAAAGAATTATCAAAACAATTCTTATCTCATTAGCTGCTCCTGTGTTTTTGGACTGGTGAAATGTGTTGGAAGATTATTTACCTAAAGGGATTGCTTGATTGGGTTTTGGTGGACACTGTGTTAATTAGCCTATCAGTCAAGCTGTGTTGACTGTCTGGTCAGCAGACAGGCAGGAGTTTCTTCAGTTTAGTATAGTTCTTGTTAGTGTAATACAGTGTAAAATAGTTATAGTATACTATAGTATAATAAAGTAATTAATTACCCTTCTGATATCGTGGAGTTCTGCGCATCATTCTTCCCTGCATTGGGGGATCTTCATAAATACAAGAACTACATACTTGTGTATTTTGAAAGTATAATTATGCTTCTTGGCTGCAACCAGGTGTGTTGTCTTGATGGACTTAGCACTCAGCACACACCTCTGTGCAAATGTGTCAAAACTGCTTAGCACCGTGTGTGGATTGGCACGTGGGTGAAGGAACCCTGTCTTGAAAGTGGGACTGTGCCAGTGCTAGTGCATGTTTAGTAGCATTCTTTATTAGTGTTTGAAGAGATCTTGCCCATGCTTCTGCAGCAGAGAGAGTTTCTTGGCTCTGCAGTGGTCACTGGGAATTCTTGATGGCCATGAGTTATGTTATAATAGCTGTTTTAATTGATATAGTAGGGAACACTGTCACATCACTGAGCCAAGTTCAAATGTTTGAAAGCTTCCCCCAACTTAAATCTTTTAAGTGTTAAATCTTTTAAAAAAGGCTGAGATTGTGAGGAACATGATGGTAATTCCAACAGAACAGAACTGTTTACTCCATCTCTGACATCCAAGTAAATCAATTTCCTGTGGGACCTACAGACTAATTCTTACAAAAGGTAAAGTGCATGGAGAACAGACCCTGGCCATACCCCCTTTGTTGTCTTCTCGGAGCATACTCTGCACCAATGCATTAGCTCAGGCCAATAGAGACCACTTAACAAAAGCAATTTAATGTGCCCTATATTCTGTTTAATGTGTAGGGTAGGAGACAGTGGTGGGGGCACTGGCAGTACAGGGATGGGAGTGGGAGCTGTTGAAATTTGTGATGCCACCTCAAGAGAGGGTCCAGGACTGGAAGAAAGGGAGAGGAGGTGCAGCTCTCAGCACATACACTCCTGTTCTCCTCTGTTGCATAGCTTTTCCAGTGCTGCTGAACCCATTTCACCCTGTTTTCTGCCTCCCTTTCCCAAGTGTCTGTGGTTCCCTTGTGTGAAAGCAGTCTCTTGCTGGCTAGTGGATGATAACAATTTTTCTCCCAGTTTCTTACTAGAAGAAAAGCCTTTTGGCTTTGGAAATAAGCATGACTTGCCTGAAAAATACCAATTACACGTAACATAATATTAAATTTGGTTTTATACTGCTTTTTCCTTGTGTTTTAAGGATTAATTGCAAAATAAGAATTGCAACTGATTAGGCAATAATACTAGTAAAATATCATTTAAAAATCTATCTCTAATACTCAGTATTGAAATAATTTTATTGTGTTTAAAATAGTTATCTTCCAGTTGCTTCAAACTGAACCATCTCAGGTATCCACAGTCATCTTGTTACATGTGGCTTCTGTTTTCATGAAGTAGTACAGTCCAGGATGGGCCTCTAAAATACCATAAAGAAAAATAGAAGTTTTAGCATAGCTGTATCAATCCCTTTCCCATTTCTATGAGTTGTATTATGGGACTAGTCAGCCTTTAACTATAACTTTTGCTTCTCAGTTGACATTCAGTGATCCTTGTGAGTCCTTTCCAACTCAGAATTCTATGTTTCTGTGATTATTTGGTATTTATATATATATTATATATATATTATTATTTATATATATTTATTTATTTATATATATATTTTATATATATATTATTTATATATTTCGTTTGAACTCTAATTATTATTTTAAAATAGAGATCAAAGTAGGTAAGTGGCTAATTTGGTATTGCTTCAGTTGACAGAGAGATTACTAATAATCTCTCACACTGCTTTCTCCTTGTAGATCATTATGTTATAAAATCTCTGCTGAGGGACCTCCAGAGTTAGGCTGTTTAAGAGTGCTTACCCAGCTGCCAGGAAGCTAATGCCCAGTGGTGTGTCAGGACAAACTTAGGTACAGGTGAAGACATCCCCTTTTTTCCTTAATTGTTTCACAAATGGAGTTCTTGGCAAAGCTTTTTTCCAAAGCTTCCTACTGACCAAGTGTTTACCAGACCAGCAGAGTTATGCAGTAACTTAGTTTGATAAGGAAAGCTGAGCAGAGTTTGGTGAGGAAAGCTGAGCAGGATACCTTCAGTTTAACCATAATGAGTAAAGGGTAAAGTAATTTGTTTACCTCTTACCTTAAAAAAAAATATTTGCTGTAGTGTAAGCTCTTGCAATGTTTCAAAATTTCTATTTTTTTCTCCTTTTTTAGGGTCCAGGTATATGTCATCCCTATGATAGTGGGCACATAGCAATGACTTACACAGGACTATCATGTCTGGTTATTCTTGGAGATGATTTAAGTCGAGTAAATAAAGATGCCATACTGGCAGGACTGAGAGCTCTCCAGCTGGAGGATGGAAGGTAAAAGATACTTTATATGCTGCAACTCCCACTACCCACATGTGGAATGAAACGTAAGAGACATGTTCTTCATAGAAGTAGCTATAATCTTTTTGTTCTATTAGAAAAATAGTTTGATTGGTAGTCACATAAGTCATAGAGCATGTGCTGGCTTCTTGGAAGTAATTAAGTCATCAGAGGGTACTAACTGGCTCTTCGAACCAAATGGAGGCTTGCCAAGCAGCAAGTCCTAGAAGAAACAATTAAAGGTTTATTTATTATCACAGGTAATTCAACCATTTACCTAGTTTTGTATATCATAGAAGCCTTTAGGTTGTAAAAGACCTTTGAGATCATGAAGTCCAACTCTTAACCCAGCACTGCGAAGTCCAGCACTAAACCATGTCCTTAAGTGCCACATCTACATGTCTTTGTAATACCTTCAGGGATGGTGACTCCACGATTTCCCTGGGCAGCCTGTTCCAGTGTTAGACAACCTTTCTGATGAGGAAATTTTTTCTAATACCTAATCTAAACCTCGCCTGGTACAACTTGAAGCCTTTTCCTCTGTCCCACATGGGAGAGGAGACCAATCCCCAACTTGCCACCTTTCAGGTAGTTGAGTGATAAGTTGTCCTCTCGGTGTTTATTTCTGTATGGCTCCTTCAGCTGCTCCTCATCAGATTTGTGCTCCAAACCCTTCCCAGCTCCACTGCCCTTCCCTGGACACACTCTAGCACCTCAATGGACTTCCTTGTCTTGAGGGGCCAAAACAGAACTCAAATCTTGAGGTGTGGCCTCACCAGTGCCCAGTACAGGGGGATGGTTACTGCCCTGGTTCTGTTGGTAATTTTCTGATACAAACACCCAAATCAGGGCATCCATCATCATCCTAAGAGTCTCTGACGTTGTGCCAAAATAACCCAGATACAAAAATTTTAAAATATTCATAGAGTTTGGTGCAATTGTAACAGTAACTAATTAAAAACTGATTCACCATTTGTATTAGAAATGGTCGTATTAGCAATTGCCTTTATACATACCTGGGAAACTGGTCCTCAAGTTGCAGTAAGGAAAGAAAGCCTTGTGAGCTATTAGGATCCCTAGGAAGTCAAAGAATTCTGCTCAAAAGAGGTAAAACGGTAAGTCATGTATCTGTATATACTGTAATAGGTGAAAGACTGTAAGTATAAACATCTTGGAATAAATAAGCACCAGTATCATTATGTTGCTGGAAATAGTTACTCAGGCTCCTAAATGTTTATTAGAGTTCTGTGCATTTTCCTTGGCTTAGAATCACATCTTCTAAAAAGAAAATCTAGTGTAGCTTTGGGTTATATTTATGAGACTACTGTAAACTAATCTTTAGAGGAAACACTGTGTGATTCTTTGAACCGCATTTCGTATTTTCTGGTGTAACAGGCAAAACAGTGTTTAAAGACAGAAATGTTTCTTTCAGTTTCTGTGCAGTGCTGGAAGGAAGTGAAAATGATATGAGGTTTGTGTACTGTGCTTCCTGCATCTGCTACATGCTCGATAACTGGTCAGGCATGGATATGAAGAAAGCAATAGACTACATTAGAAGAAGTATGGTGAGTGTTCACAAAATGTTACTTCTTCCTATGCTTTCAGGCTTTAAGCTTTTTTTCTTAACTGTGGCTTAAAAACATGTCTGTCCAAACTGTATTACAATATTTTCTTTATTTTTTCTTCCTGCTCTAGTGAGTTGAGAATTACAAAGTACATTGGCTTTTTGCATTTGTATTTTCATTAAAATGTGTGTGCTAGCAAGATAATTTTATTTGGTGTGTGTGTTTGCCGCAAATTGTATGAAAAAGCCTCTTTATTTAAAATAATTAAGCAATTGAAAGCAAGTTTTTGAAAACTAAGGTGTGATGTTTGCGTTTAGAAAAGTGCAGAAAGCACTTTAGAAAAGTGTATCAATAAAATCCTCATATTTCATTGAGCTGTAGTATTGCTTTTTAAAAGATACACAGATTCAAATATACTAATTATTGACATCAGTTCATCCTTAAATGTTTCCAGTCATGCCCTTCATAATTTATTTATTAGATATTTGGAATGAAAAAATATATGAGTACGTACACATTTTTTCTGTGTCTGTGCAAATTGTCTTCATATTTGATTGGAGTAAAGGAGATTTCCATTTTTTTCATGTTGTTTCACTAGTTTAATTGAGTTACATTTTCAAAGATTGAAACACAATTTTTTAAGGAAGCTGAGCAAGCTTGAAAATTGCAGTTCCCTTAGTGTGAGTAAATACAGGTTAAATTCTTGTGGTCCACAAAGAAGACCCAAATTTATGATGAGTCACAGCTTCTGTTGTAAATTACTATTTTCAGTAGTTGCTGTAAGCAGCAAGATTGTACAATTTATGTGAGAAACAAGTTTAAAAAAAGACTTCAAAATCTCTTGCTTCAGACTAAGTTGTTTTTTATTTGTTGTTTATTTTTAAAGGAGGTATTTGGATGTCTTAGTATTTCTTACTGTACACCTCAAGAAGCTTTCTGGCACACTGCCATAGTCCTGGACAGACAGAGATAATCAAGGCCAGGGCTCAGTCATACAAGGATGTGGACCTGCAGTCTGTTCACATCCTAGTAGCACCTTTTATCCCATTTTCCTCTCTGTTTCCCCTTGTTCTTCTCCAGTCTGCTTTGATATTTCTGTTTCTTACCATTGGCCCTTTCCCTAGCCATCCCATAGTAAGTTATGCTTACCCCTGCATTCCCCAGAAAACAGTCCATGATAAGGGGGTTTCTGTACAATCCTAGAATCTTCCTCCCCTGCTTCCCATAAGAGCCCTTCTCCCATAGCTGGTAGCTCCCCTTAGTTAGCATGGGTTCTCAGCATGAGAATATCCCTGCTGAATCCTTTCAGTGGGTTTCACCCAAGGATGATGATTTATCCATTCTCCTTTCAGTCTGAGAGAGGAGCTTAGGCAGAGTGCTTGCTTGCTCTTACTGATTAGGCTGTGAACATTCTCCCTCGTCTGATCATTTCTGGATCTTAATGTTTACTGAGATCAGTCTTTAGTAAAATAGCTTAGCAGAGTTACAATAGGAGAATCAAGTGTTAAAAAGAATAGAAAACAAAACCCAAGAGCAAAATCCTCATTGTAGTTCTGTACATCACATTGTCTGTTAGTTGTGAACATTTGAGTCAGTTTTGATCCCAAAGGAAATGGTGGAACTAGGAAGGGGACAAAGAAAGTTGAGTTGAACTGTGGAAGGTATGAATCAGCTTGTGTAAAAGGAGTATTTCATATATTAGGAGTCTTTATTCTGGAAATTAGATTGTTAACTGGAGTGTGACGGAGATACATAGTGTAACAGGCAGCACTGAAAAAATAAAGAGAGGGAGAAGCAACTGTTTTTTTCTAAGACAAAACAGACAGACAGCATCAGATGAGGCCATTAATAGAGCAGACAAGTGGAGATTTTTTGAAAGTTTAGAGCTTTGAAGTGGTACTGGAGATTTATTGTGTAGTGTGATCTTGAACCAAATTTAAACTTTGCTTCTGGAGCTTAGCATTAATTGTTGGACCTGCAAATTCCAGTCATTATGTTCCTATTGGAAAAAGAGATACCTTTAATAATTTAAAAAACCTCTAATAATTGAGGCCTTACCATGGCAAGACATCTTGGAAGGCCTCCTACTAATACTTCAGTTCACTAGTAAAGTAGAGAACTAAGTCTTGCCATGGTCAAAGTTCACAAGACACTGTGGCTTATCACAAAGATTGTGTCTTTTCCTGGCTAGCTTAGTCTGTTAAGAGTTTAAAACTAATTGTACAGCCCAACATAGTAGTGTCTGGGATGCACACTTAACAGCTTTTCTCCAGAGCTAATTACTTCGTCATACATAAAGCAAGCCACCTCCTCTTAAAATTGCTGTTTGTAGGGTTAATTAGCTCTGCCAGCATAGCTTTGCTAATCAGCTTGCCTTTTCTTAGCAATTAATGCATCTGTGGAGTGTGTAGCACATTTGTATTGCATTCTCAAAAAGCAGTGGAAAAGGAAGAGTTTACACTGTGTGCTTTAACATTCAAAAGTTCATAGAGATTACTAAAATTTACTGGTTCAAACCTGAGAAATCAAGCTGCAGCTTGAAGTGTATTTATCAGGTATTAGTATTTTTAGTTGCTTCAGCTTTCAGCAACAATTCAAAACTAGAAATACAGTTTTAGTGTAGCTTCTGTATTTTCTTCTGTTTACTTTTTTCTTCTGATTTTCTTCTGTTTACTTTTTTCTTCTCTTTTTCAGCTTTAAAAGCAGATGCACAAAATGATCCTTAGGTAGTTTCTAGAGATACAATAGTCCTGTAACCATTCTTTGGTTAGGACTATGGGAGTCATTATTGATTTGTCAAGGTGTCCTGTATCTACTACCCACTGTTTCTGAGAAAATGTGAGAAATTCACAGTCAGCACCTGGAGGATGTGGGGGAAGGATTTTTAGTGCTTTGTGTCTGATCAGATACTGATCCAGTCATTAATTGAACAGTTGATATAGAATACGTAGGGCCAATGTAATTTAACTTCAAGAGTTACACCTCATTTTTCCTACTAAGCAATTTGGTATTTGTTCAGAGATAATTCAATAAGTATTCTATGAACTCTTGTAAAATAAATATTTGCTATTTTATGAATAATTTCTTACATGGTCTTTTGTTTCTTTTCAAGTAAAACGATTTAATGGATTTTTAGGGAAGAAAGATTATTATTCTTACATATACATGTGTCCATAGATTGCTCATGACAGACATGAACTATGATATTCTTAGTGCTTTGTCGGACTTGAGTTTCCTGTTTTGTTGTGCTTAACAGAGTGATTTTTCAGCACTGTAATGGTATTTTTTAACAGTAATATTTTACAGGCCAATTTTAGTTTATTCCAATGCATGTTATAATTTTCTTCTTGCTTCTGGTTCCCTTCTCATTGTTTTTTAAAGCCTGATGTACTTGATTCTTACTAAAGAATTGCTTGGATTTGAGTATTCTACACACAGGCATACTTTGCATTTTGCCTCTTTTTTAATGTTAAACTGCCCTTGGATTAGAGACAGATTAAGTTATCTATTTAATTCTGTTTTGTTTTGATTACATAGCCATTTTTTTTTCTTTTTATACCTGCATTACATGATTTTTTTCTTTGTTGCTTACCCTTTTTCAGGTTTCTAACATGTGTCACAACTAAAATTAATTCCATGAAAGTCATAAAAACATCCTGCATTGAAAAAGAGCTGATTTGTTAACTGTGTTGTGGCAAGAATTTTTGGAGGTTCAGAATTTAATGAGGTTAAATCATGGCAATGATCTGATGATAATTTTGCTGGTAAACTAAGAAATTGCAATGTCTGTCAAAGTGCTATGGTTCTAAATTAACTGCTTTTTGGGATTTTTTTTTTTCTTCAGTCTTATGATAACGGCCTGGCACAGGGAGCTGGACTGGAATCTCATGGTAAGAATGTCCAAGTGCTCTACACCTTTCAGAGTGGTATTGAAAGTGCTGTAGCAGATGCAGGGTATGCCATACCTTTCCTTTTTTTCTAAGGAAGTTGTGTGAGGAGGAGCGAATCCAAAACATGCCTCCAAATGTCACTTCTTCCTTTAGATCTAGCTTAATATCTGAACAGACAGGCTTTTTTAAATCACTCCCATTAATCTTATCTCATGAATGTTTTTGGTGAAATCTTATCTCGTGTTTTGTTGAAAGGTGTTGCGTTTAGTTCTCAGTTGTTGCTGACAGAGCAAACTTTTTCCACATGTGTCATTGTTACTCTGAGGATTTTATGTGCAAAGAGATTTTGTGCCCTGTAACTGATCGCTTGCAATTTCAACAGCTTTGGTAAAACAGAGAAGCATTTCCTCTGATAGATACAGCATCTGTTGTATGTTCAAGTCTTGAAGCAACAGTTAATTTTTGTAAAGAGTTACTAGATCTGAAGATAGGAATCCCCAAGGGACTGCTAGTTTTAAGCAAAATGTTGCTGTGCCATGAAGTAGCAGTCTGCTTGTGACAGAGGAGTTTTTGGCTTTTAGGTGACTGATACTAGATCTAGTGCTGTAGTCTGTTGGACTGATTGGTCCAAGGTTAGACTTGATGATCTTGGAGGTCTTTTCCAACCTAAATGATTCTATGATCCTATCAGATGTTTACCATTAGTATTGAGCTTTGATAGGATTTTGTCTGTTTCCTTCTTGCTGGATCAATGAAGCTGAAAAATTTAAATTATACCCCTAAGTATTAAAACAATTGGTTAATTAACTTTCTGTAAACTGTTAGTGATAACAAATAGCAGTACTTCAGCACTGCATTTCAGCATCAGAGTGAAAATAATCTTACATCTCCTGGGGTCTTCCAGCACCAGGATATTGTAAGGAACTTTGGGGCCCAAGTCTCCTGTCAGCAGCTTGCTTATGGTCTTTCCCAGACTCTGATTTTATCATATCAGGTGTTAGACTCAAAATAAACTTGGATGGGCTTTAAAAAGTGGTGGCTGGACTACACAAAGATCATAAGTTTATCTTTTTTACCATACAGTTTCCTTGACAGCAAAAAATTCCTTAGAATCACAATTTGTATGTATTACAACCACGAGAGTCTGGGAGTATTTTCACCATATTAAGTGTGCATGTTGTTTGGGGGTTTTTTAATAATTTTAGTTTGAATTTTTTTTTCTCCTTCTGCTCTCCAGACACTTCTGTCTGTTTATATCCTCTGGGGGATTGTGTCTGAGGCTGGCTTTGGCATTTCTGCTTCAGTCTGATTGCTGGCATTCCAATAGCTTTCTTTTTTAAGTTACAAGTGAAGAAATATTTCTGTTGCAATTCCTTTTACTTGTTTCTGGACTGCTATGTAATGTAAATTGCACAGCATTGTGAAAAGAAACAGCTTTAAGAAAATGAGCTGGTTTATTTCTACAAGAGCTGGATTGAGGGAGTTCCTGAGTTCCCCCCACCCCACCTTTGACATACCCGCTGAACTTGAGTGTTCTTATTTATTTGGATTTTAGACTCAAAATTAACTCTTTCATACTTTTAAAAGTCCATTGATTTCATTGCTAATAGCTTAGTTAAAGTTCTGACTGAGATCATACAGGCTTCAGAAAATCTGTGTATCAAAGCATAGCAAACCCTGCTTTCTCTTCACAGAAGCAAACCCTTCTCTTCTCTTCTCTTCTGTAGGGGGCTCTACATTTTGTGGTATTGCATCACTGTGTTTGATGGGCAAACTGGAGGAAGTTTTTTCAGAAAAAGAACTGAACAGAATAAGAAGATGGTGTATAATGAGGCAACAGAATGGCTACCATGGACGACCCAACAAACCTGTAGACACTTGCTATTCCTTTTGGGTGGGAGCAACATTGAAGGTAGTGTACAGAACAAGTGTAGGGATAGCAATTGACTTGTTTTGATTTCTTTAAGCACTATTTTCTTTGTTTGAAAGCATTAGATATTTGATACAAGTGAACCAATATGCACCAATGACTATAAATGTCTTTCATCTCACAAAAAATGCAGGAAATGGAGGTTTACCAGATTAGTGCTATCTGTGCTGTTACTGTTTATCTCAAAAATAGGCACTATATTCTAGTGTTAAAAATTTACTAACTCTTAGTTAAGACTTAGTGTTAAAAGTAAGACTAAGACTTATATTACTGTTACAATCTAATTTTTTTCAGCTTTTGAACATATTCCAATATACAAATTTTGAGAAAAACCGAAATTACATCCTGTCAACTCAAGATCGCCTTGTTGGTGGATTCGCCAAGTGGCCCGACAGCCATCCAGGTAAAATAACTTCTCAAAACTGCAATGAGTGTGTTCTAAGTAAGAAATTAATTCCAGCAGTCAGACATCTGAGAGGTGTAAGGGAAACCGTACCCTTCCAAAAAACCCCCAGAAAAACAAAAAAAGCCAACCAACCAACCAAACCCCAAAAAACCCTCAAAATATAAAAAGGTTTTCATTCTTGAAGTGGAAAGAGGGAGAAATTTGTCCTTGTTCAGCCACAAAGGAAGTGAATCTTGTTGTTTAGATTACTGTTAGAGTATCACTGTCTATTTAGTATATGTTTAACTGTTCTGCTTAAAGGATATACTGTGTTGTAGGAATCTCTGTAAATTGCGCTTAATATATCAAAATATTTGTTTCTTTAGAAAATTAATAATTTAAGCTTATTCAGAAGTCATTAAGTAAAAAGAGTCAAAGTTTACGCAGTTATGTACTATGATTTACAGATTGTGTTTATACAAGTATGTCTGACACTTATGCTTTCAGAAGTGGATCATTTGAAGTAGTGAAAAAAACTCAAAAAGGTGCTAAAATCTTTTAATTTTAAAAGTTGTTAGAATGTAATTAAGGTATTGCAAGTTTCTGAAAACAAAGCTTGTGCCAGTAGGTTTTCAGTGCCCGTCGCATTTTGTACAGGGAAGAATAAACGGTCTTTGTAAATGGACCAAATAAGATAAAAATTTAGTCATAATAAAGGAAGAGTATGTTTAGAATCTGTGCCCCGGTATTAAATCTATTGATAATTTCATTTTGAACAACAGTTCAGAATTTTTCAAGGTGAACCCACACTGAAAATACAGTGCTTGTGATAGATTTGCATTTCCTCCTCATCATATAGATTTAGCAGTATCATTTGGAGGGAGTGTTTTGGTTTGTCTTAAGGAAACATTTACCTTGTGAGTCAGAGATTGGAAAGTCTGGTTCAAATCCTCATCATGTGTTAACCTGTCTTAAACTTAATTGCCTTTTATGACAAGATTGTCCCCCCAGCTGACCAAGGGAAGCCATTTGATGTAATATAAGGCTTTCAGTAGTGTCCCTTCCAAGATACTTCTGGACAAACTGTCCGGTACATGGCACCTTGAGTGCCGGGGACAGTTTTGGGTCCCACAACACAAAAAAGGCATTGAGCTGTTAGAGAGTGTCCAAAGGAGGCCATGAGGATGGTGAAGGTCCTTGAGGGGAAGCTGTATGAGGAGTGGCTGAGGTCACTTGGTCTGTTCAGCCTGGAGGAGACTGAGGGAAGACCTCACTGCAGCTACAGCTTCCTTGTGAGGAGAAGAGGAGGGGCAGGCACTGATCTCTGCTCTTCTGTGACAGTGACAGGACACGAGGGAGTGGCCTGAAGTTGCATTAGGGGAGGTTTAGTTCGGATATTAGGAAAAGGTTCTTCACCCAGAGGGTGGTTGGGCACTGGAACAGGCTTTTCAGGAAAGTGGTCATAGCACCAACCTGAGAGAGTTCAAGAAAGTTTTGGACAATGCTCTCAGGCATGTGGTGTAACTCTTGGGGTGTCCTAAACAGAGCCAGGAGTCAAAATTTGATTGCATTTGTGGAGACCCTCCCCACAAAGTTAGTGCAGTTCTGATACAAAGAAAGACTATAAATGCATCATTGCAAAGATTGCTTCTGTGTTTTCATTGTTATAGATACACAACTGAGCTTCCTGCAAGCTCAGTCTCATATCTGAAGGGCAAGTTGTCTTTCGATCATGTTGACACTATAAAGGTTCCTAAAACTTAATCAGTATTAGATTTTAATTTCTGGGGCTCCTACTTTATAAAAGTTCTGTTTATATTTGGGGACTCAAACTGTATTTGCTGTGCAATAATGTTTTTAAGAAGACTAGAAGAAATTTCAGAAAGACAGTCAACTGCTGGTGATAATCTATGTGTTACATGGACTTGCAATGTTAGCAAGTAACTCTTTCAAGCTGATTATTCAGGGAAATAATATTTTGTAGTCTTGTTGTTCCCATGCTAAGAGATGTCAAAATATTGTTGGTTGTAGAGGCCACTAGCATTATTTAACAAAGAACTGATGGGACAAGCAGAAGCAGCCTCAGGTTACACTGGAAGAGATGTAGATTGAATAGTAGGAAACATTTCACCAGAAGGGTTGTGAAGCATTGGAACAGGCTACTTGAGGTGTTTGAGTCACCATCCCTGGAGATACAATATGACACTTAAGGGCAGGGTTTCATGCTGGTCCTGGCAATGTTAGGTTAAGTATTGGAATCTGATACTAGAGGTCTTTTCCAGCCTAAATGATTCTGTGATCATTTTAGTGAGATACTAAATTATTGACACCTACACAGAGTACTACATGTTGAGCTTTTTCAAGGAGCACATGAAATTCCCATCGTCTTTCTATCTTTCACCTGTGATTTCATGGGCAGATAATCCAATCTGATAGCTTGCTGCAACCCAGAGGAGGCAGACTCAGCGAGCTGCAGCCCTGGTATAAAGTGGACATCAGGAGCAGCAAGGAACAGGAGAATAAGAGTATCCCATTTTGGTGGCAGCCATCTCTTTATCAAGCTACATGAATTCCTATCCTTAGGATAATCTCTCAGGAAAATAGGAAGCTAGGAAAAGTAATGCCTTCTTAATTTCTCTAAGTCTTGCTATTGGCAGCTATTTGCGCTAATTTTGTTGTTTCAATAGTTAGCTGCTCATAAAGTAACCAGCCAAAAACACTTGCAAGAAAAAAAATTTTCTTTCTGGACTGGTTATTTTTGGATATTTAAATTCTTTTGCTTTTTGGCTGTGGCACTCAGAAAAAAATGTAGTGCACAAGTTGTTATAAAAGAAATGTGGACTTTAGTTCATGCTGGTAACTCTGGGCAGAAATGTTTTCCTTCCATCAAAACTCAAGTTAAAATTACGGCTGTGGTATTCACATGCCCTCTGAACAAGGGGAGACATAATTCTCTCTCTCAGATTTTTTCCTGGAGAAGCACAGAGGGAAAACAATTCTTATCTCATTTGCTGCTTCTGTTGTTTTGCAAACATGTGGAATGTGTTGGGAGATTATTTATCTGCAGGAATTTGATGATTGGATTCTGGTGATGGTGTTTTGATTCATTGGCCAATTGAATCCATGTCTTTGTGTTGGGACTGTCAGCTGAGAGTCACGAGTTTTCAGTTTAGAAATTAGAAATTAGAAGTAAGTATGATGTGGTATAGTTTATATCTCTTTAATATAGTAAAGTATAATAAAGTAATCAATTTGGAGTCAGATGCGTCATTCTTCCCTGAGGGGAGGGATTGCCTGCTGATCCAATATATGGCACCTGATTATTTGTTTTCCTTGGTTGTAATTACTCACAATTGTTTGAATATGGGTTGAATATTGGCTGTTACAGCCTGAGATGGTTTTTTTTCCTTTTCTGTCTTTCTTTCAGATGCTTTACATGCCTACTTTGGAATCTGTGGTTTGTCATTAATTGGAGAATCTGGTATTTGCAAAGTTCATCCCGCCCTAAATGTAAGCACAAGAGCATCAGAGCGTCTTCACCACCTTCATCAGATCTGGAAAACACGGACTTTAAACAGCGTTCAGACGACACACACCTCTCTACATGACTGATTTAGACTTGAATTTAGTTCTGGTAGCATAATTGTAGCCCAGGGTTAAAAGCCATGTATAACCAATGTGCTCTTTTAAGTGCTGGAGTCATACAATCAGATCTGTGTTGCTGGCATCACTTTGATAGGGAGTTGCCTTCAGCAGGTTATTCTGCATTGTGAAATGGGGAATATTTTGATTATATAGAAGTTTGTCACCGCAGACTGTAAATGGCTTTTCAGATGGCTTTACTTCTAAGAAATCCCTTGAGGCATTTAAACTTCATTTAATTTTATTTTTTTAAATTTGTGCATACTGTGTCAAAATATATAATGGGGAAGTATTTTCAAAATTGTTTACATATCATACAGTATAGCACAGAATGTTGAAGTTCTTTATAATCTTACTGTTTGACATATTTTTGGGTAGAGAATCTCTCATATTAAGTCTCAGTTAAAAATTATCTATTATCATCAACTTTCAGATTCCATAAACTTTGTTTTTCACAAACAAATTAATTAAATACAAATAAAATTATTTTATTCAATATACTGGACTTTTAAGGTTGTGTGGCCTTACTAAATGGATCTCATAATTCTTCTGAGTAGGTTTTACACAAATGCAGTGGATTGTTAGCCAGACAGAGTTTTCATCTAAAATAGTTTCTTCATGTGAAGTTCACTAAGAGTGTGGCATATTGATGTGCATCAATAAGAGATATTCAGCCCAGTCTTTGGAAGCATACCTGTATGCAAGAGTAGCATTAGAACCTGCTTCCAAAGACAAACCTTTGCAATACATTGAAGTTGTTCAAATTAGAGTAATGATGAACATTCTCAGCTTCTTTAGTGCTTTACTAGTGCCTTACTTTGTATGCTTGAAGTGCTGTTCAGAGTTGAAGGAAGTAACTTTGCAGCTGGTGTGTTTGTGGCAGGTCAGTTTGTGCATTCAGTAGACACCACATGTTTCTACTTGCCAGTCATTAACAGCACTTTTTTTTCCTAAAGGTTCCAAAGATAACTGAAGACTTCCTGAGACAGGTTAGGTGCACCATTTGCCACTGCTGAGCCCAAAGAAACAGGATGTAGATCTTTTTGGCTAGCAAAAAGAGCTTTGGGGATAAACATGATTCCTGTTTTGCAATGCAGGGCAAGTGAAAAGGGTAGTGTAGTTGTACCCCTAGCACACATGTCAGAGAGGTCCAGTAGGTATCTTTAGGCTACCAGAACAATCCCATTGTCCAAACCTGTAGCAGCCTTCCTACCTAAATAGATAGGTTTCGTTTCTATAGCAGATTAATTTTCATGGCAGCATTGGGAGCATAACTAGTGATAGTTGTCTGCTTGGAAAAGCAGAGGAGGAGTGGGGTAGGGTGTGTGTGATCCAGACACGTCCCACTAGACACTTTACTTTTGGAGGAGGAGAGACTCAGTAGTTGTAAAAACTGGGAAGTCTGGAGGGGTGTGAAACCAAGAGAACTGTGAGGCCAGTACTGGAGAGGGGGAATGAGGTGCTTGAGTAGGACTGTTGCAGAGTGAGAGAAATGAAAACTGGGAGGTACTGAGGCTGGAGGCACCAGTGAAGAATGTGGAGTAGTAATGGAACCGAACTGGTGGAAAGGATTTGAACTGTGTAGGGTAAGATTAGGGAGCAAAAGAAAGGTACTGACTCAAGGAACATGAAGGAGTTAAGGAGCAAAGATAGAGCTTGGGAATTGGTTTTATTGACCACATGCTGAGATGACCAAAAATCCAGCCACAAGTAAAAAGAACTAGCAAGATACCTGAAAGAGAGTATCTCCCAGGCAGGGGGCTCACTACAGCAGTTCCTGTGTGAATCCCATTTTCCTGGATAGGCTTAATGGGATGTTGGTCAGCAAAGGCTGAAGTAGCTTCCCTGAGCAGAAGTTTCTAAGATCATAGGGGTCTGCCTAGATAAAATACCCATTTAAAACCAAACAATTAAAATCTTGAAGTAAAAATTGATCAAAAAAGCATGGAATTTTCTTGTCTTTACATCAGATGGTGACGACAAGTTGACTTCATGGTAGGATAGGATGGGTTTCCGGTGTAGTTACAATGAAGGTGAGATGTAATTGTAGCTGTCCATCCCCACCACTGCTTCTTTGCCTTGCCGGTGAGCTATCTTTGAGTTTCTTAGCTTTTACCACATACCCTGGTAGAGGGAGTAGCTTTGAGTTTCAGAAGAGTTGAATAAGGTATTCTTAGTCTCTGCTGGGAAACAGTCTAAATATTTGTTCTTACTTAGCTTAGTGAAAAATGATGTATTTGATTATTGTGAGGCAAATCCATACTTGCAAAATCCTGAGCTATAGTTCCTGAGTTGTCCTATGTGTGACCACATTCTCATCTGTGAGGGACATCGGGGTCCCTCAGCAGAAAATATGGAGGTAACAGTGAAAAATCATACAATGTGAATAAGAAAAATTCTCACGGAAAGTAATTTAACAGTTTTCTGTCTCAAAAAACAGGTAACGTTTCTTGCTATGTTTTCTGTAAGCTACCCTGGGTTCTTCATATGGATTTTATGTTTCTTATCTCCTTGGCCCCCAGTTATTCTACACATCTTTTCAGGCTGCCTGTTGACTGCAGAGCTAGCCTTTCCTAAAGGTTGCATAAGGCATATTTGTTTCTCATTAACCCAAAGTTTGATGAAGGCAGCAAAATACCCATGCTTTCATCTCACACTATCTAATTACTCTAATTCTTTTGAAATCTTTAATCTTTTTTAAGTTGATAAAAATCAGTACTAATAACCAACTCTACATATATGATTTGCCATTCTGAATGTCCCAATTTATGTCAGGCAAACAAATGATGAACATGAAATGTTCCTGTGTAGCAGACATCTGGATTCTGACTGTATTGAATTGTCTCTCTGATTTTTGTGGTTTATTGTGTCTTTTGACTAGAAAAATGTTAAATGAGAAATCAGTGGACAAGAGTTTCACAGAAGTCCATAACCTAAAATCACTTTTAAAGGGGATACGTCAAAATAGAGCTAAAACTTAAATGTGAACTGTGAAGTTTAAATGTAGCTAGAAAAAGCAAACCATGTGATTATTACCTACCTCTAATAATTTTGTGTTAACCACAGCTTTACATTGCTGAGACTGAACCTACATAAGAAATTCATGCATTGAATGGCTTTACCATGTGCTTGAGGATGTAAAACCTCTTGGCTATCAGGCTGACAAATGTGAGTGCCTCTATCCTATCTGAAACACTCCCAAACTCTGTGTGTGGCCCGAGTTTCTCTTCCAGAAAAACAGCTTTAAAATCGTATGTTGAACAAAGGAAGTCAAATGTATCTTTTCCATAGGATGTGAGGACTGGGGATTTAAACATTGTCACTGGGGCTTTCAGGCCCACTTGATTTGTACATAGCTGCTGACAGATGTAGTAACACCATTTTGGAAGGCTGCTTCTAAGCATGTTTGTATTTATAAATTTTCATATTGAGAACTATTTTTTCTAAATGGAACAATCATGATCATTGAAAAAAAACTAGCAAGTAAATTATTTCAGAAATATCTGACATGCATATGCTGAAGCACATATTAAGAGTACTGTGCTCTCTGCTCTATTGCCCAAGGTAAAAGACAACCTGAGAGGAGCTGAAGAAGCTGCATCAAATTTGCTTTCTCCATGGATGCCAGTATAGAAATTAAATATTCTGTAGAAACTGTTGTGTTCCTTAAAAAATACATGTCAACTTTGTGCCAAGTGAGCCATTCAGTATGGGGTTGCCTAATATAGAAGGGAAGAAACAGTGGTTTCCAAAGTCAAAGCCTTTTATGGACAGCCCATCTCCTGGCATTTTGGAGAAACTTGCTATCAGTGTCCCTGTGGAAGTCAAAGGGATGTCAGGACATGCATAAGAAGCAGAGAGACCCTAAGTAAGAAGATGCTATTGTTGCAACTAAATATGAGACATCTCCAAAATGCATCAGTTGAATGATATTATTGGTCTGTTTACGTTGATGTTAAATACTGTGGTGGTTCTGAAAAGCTCTTTTTTTGCTGTTGCAAGAAAAGACCACTTAACAAGTTTTCCTCACTTCAGATGACACTGGGTGGAAAAGAGGAGTCTCAACATCTTTATACTAAATGGTTATTAAATTACTCCACTGAGTGGTTACAATGTGTTGTAGATTTACACTTTCTGTTCACCATTTTAAGCTTTTGTGTTCCTGGTCTCTATTTGCCTGGTTAGTTTCTGAGTTTAATAAAAATCAATGACCTGTTGAGAAAATGTGGGAAAACTGTAATTTCTTTTTTACTGTAGCTCTTGTCGTGTGTTTTTTCCCAAGTTACATGTTCTGGGTGAGGACCTGTTTTCCCAAGGGCACAGAGCATGACAGCCTCCAAAGGTTTTCAAGCTGAACCCATCAAAGGCAGCAAACCCTGACACTACTGCTTTATTTTTTAGGCACTGGAGAAGTGCCTTGCTTGATAACTACATTGTGAGAACATAGAATCATGGAATGATTTGGGTTGGAAGGGACCTTAAAAATCATCTCATCCAACTCCCCTGCCAAGGGCAGGGAGGCATCCCACCAGATCAGGTTGCTCAAAGCCCAATCCAACCTGGATTTGAACACTTCCAGGGATGGGGCAACCACAGCTTCTCTGGGCAAACCTTTTCCTAATGCCTCACCACCCTCAATAGTGAAGAATTTTTTCCTAATACCTAAAATTTCTCAATTTTAATCCATTCCCCCTTGTCCTGTCAGTACATGCCCTTCTAAAAAGGCCCTCTCCAGCTTTTATGTAGGGTCCCTTCATGTACTGCCAGGTGCTGTAGGTCTCCCCAGAGCCTTCTCTTTCCCAGGTCAAATGGGCCCCTCTCAGCCTGTCTTCACAGGAGGGATGTTCCTGCCCTCTGATCATCTTCATGGCCTCCCCTGGATGCACTCCTGAAGGTCTGTGTCCTTCTTAAGTTGAGGATCCCAGAGATGGATGCAGCAGTCCAAATAGGATCTCACCAGAGCAGAGCAGAGGGGCAGAATCCCCTCCCTCCCCTGCTGCCCACGCTGCTTTGGATGCAGCCCAGGACACATTTGGCTTTCTGGGCTGTGAGTGCCCAGGGCCAGGTCATGTCCAGCCTCTCACCCAGCAGCACCCCCAAGCCCTTCTCTGAGCAGCTGGTCTCAATCCATTTGCTGCCCAGTCTGTACTTCTGTCCGCAGGACCTGGCACTTGGCTGTACCAAACTCCTCCATGAGGTTCACACAAGCCCCCTTCTCAAGCCTGTCCAGGTCCCTCTGGATGCTATTCCTTCCTTCTGGTGTGTGGGTAGCACCAAGCAGCTCAGAGTCGCTGGCACACTTGCTGAGGGTGCACTCAGTCCCCCTGTCCCTGCTGCCCGCAGGGTTGTGGAGCAGTGCCAGTCCCAACACCAGGCCCTCCAAAAGGCCACTCATCACTGGTCTCTGCTTGGACCTTTGGTGTTGACCACAACTCTTTTCAGCAAGACTGTACAGCCCATTCCTTATCCCTTGAGTGGTCCACCCTCTCCAGTTTGGAGC